ACACAAAATAATAATAATAATAATCGCAAAACAAGTGTGTTATTATCAATATTTTATCATAAATTTAAAACTAATGGGAAAAATACAGAAAGAGAGAGAGAGAGAGAGAGAGAGAGACTAAATGAATGAAATTAGAAAATGTGTTTAAAAATATATTTATAATTTGCAGATATTTTTCTCTTTCGTATTAAAAACAAAAAATACACAAAATTTTGAAAATAAGTTACATTTTAAACAAAAAAATGCAAAAATAGTCAGATTTCAAAACTGATTGATTGAAAAAATGAACAATCGTTAAAACAAAAATCCCGAAATACGTATAATTAATTTTAGTAAAAACATATCAAACAATAAATCGCATAATAAAAATTACAATCGAAATGAAAAAATTTTAATGAAAAAAGCGCCCATAAAAACACAAAATAATAATAATAATAATCGCAAAACAAGTGTGTTATTATCAATATTTTATCATAAATTTAAAACTAATGGGAAAAATACAGAAAGAGAGAGAGAGAGAAACAAAAAATTCGGCGAATGTCCACGCACACCCAAAAAACTTCATCATTTCTTGCCCAACGCCTTATTAGTCAACGATTGTTTCGCTTTCAACTCTGACTCTCTGGCCTTTTGCTCGGCATCCCTACGCTTGGCCGCGTCCTCGCGCTGCTGTTTGATGATGGCCAGTCGGGCCAGGTCGGCGCGGGCCTGGTCAGTTTTGCCCTGCGCGTGCAGCCGTTGGTAGTTCTCCCGGGCCTTCTGCTTCTCCAACTCTTCCCGCTCCCGGCGGGACAACTCGGGCACCGGTGCCGCCCCGTCAGCGCCGGGCGCGCCGTTTCGGGAACTGCCACCAGCGGCTCCGCCAGCGTTTTCTATTGGTCAACGCAGGGAACCAATCGGAGCGCAGGTGTGTAAAAATGTGTGGGAATAGAAAATACAATTAAACTATGGATTAATATATGAATTAATTGTATTGAATTGTTTTATGCGATAATAGTGTGCGAAACACTCTGTACTGTAAACTACTGTAGTATTAATAACTGTCTAATTGGTAACTAGACCTCAGAGCCCGTCATATACTGGCCATTTGGTTAGCGCGCGGGCGCGTCAACCATAACCACCCAGTGTTCACATACAGTGTACTATAATTATCGCAACAAACAAAACAGCACATCCCGAGAGAGCACCGGGCGGTCACACAGCACACCGGGTGTCCCAACACACACAGCCACACGTACCGAGTGTGAGATTTTTGTTGGCCTTGCGATGAACGCGATTGGGATTTTCGATCTCGATCAGCGCCGACACACCCTTGCGCTGGTCCTCCTCCTCACTACTGTCCTCATCAC